TTTTTTTTCTGTTCAATGAAAAAGGTTTTAAGATGCAAGCTTTTAAAGGAGCTGTATCTGAAATTTGTAATTAAATCAAATCCTTTATTATATTTAAATTCAATCCGTTTTTAAAACTATAACCAGGGACAAAAACATTTTTTGCACCATCAAAAGTGGTGAAACATACAATGTTAAGACAGTCAGCCAATAGCAAATCAACCTTCTTCATTCCGTTTTAAGTCTTTATTAATATTGTTGGTCTGGGTGGATCACCTTTAGAAAAACTGCAGTGCAGAATTGAATGGGGAAAATTTGTGCCTCTCCAAAGGTGGATGGAATCTATTGCACAGACCCTCAGCTAATAGAAAATCACCTTGTTTTTGTCAGATAAGTGTCTCTGCCAAAGCTGCTGGGGTTTATAGAGCACCTCCCATTCCCAGACTGGGACTGTGCAGCGATGGACAGGGAGTGGTCTAACTCCCCTCCTGACCAAACCAAAATTTGTGCAATAAGCGGTTCAACTTTGGTTGTGTAGGTATGACACAGAATGACAAAGATATTGAATCTGTAGGGTTTCTGTGTTGCTCAGCAAAATGTGATGTTAAAAGTCATGGCATTAAAAACTGGGTTCAAAAACAGTGTAATACATAAGTCAGATGTTACCAAAAGAAAAGTGACATTGATGGATCACATGTCAGCACTGAGACACGTTTCCCAATGTGCACTCGGGGTGCCCTGACAGACACAGCTCAAATCAGGCGTCATGTGTCAGAAAACAACTGTCCGACAAGGCGTTTCAGGCAGAGGTGAGTCAATATCTTAAACACAAAAACCCAAATGCTTTGTTAACTTTTTGGGGGTAAAAAGGGAAGTTCTTATTTCTGCACACATATTCCTCTGGATGTGATTTGATTTATTTATGATATATGTATATTTACCTTTTGCATTTTTTTGGAATAGCAAACGTTAGTTTATGCCTTAGTTACATTATTGTTACAGTGTTGGATCAATAGACACCCCCTTCCACACAAGTAGAATTACACAATCTGGTATTCTACAGTATAAATCGGATTACATGGTCCATTTAGTTAACATTGAAAACCTTTATTAATTAATATTGTATTATAATAGTTATCAGTCCGTCTATATGATTCGTTTGAAAGGGATTTCATAGCGTTACACGAACAGAATGCATGATAATATTCACCTGAAAACCAGCTGGGATTCTGAAAAGTTGCTGAAAGGGCCTTATGGAGTGGGTTTTAATACTGAACTGAACACAAATGCAATTTTGAGACGCCGGGCTTTTTGATGGCGCCTCTGGCATTTTTAAATTGCTCCCTGAAAGTCCTACTAATTTCAATTTTTCAATCTCTCACCAGCACCTGATTCCCACCCAACGCAACAAAAGCCCGTCTCCCGGGTTTCATATCGGTTCGGAGTGAGAGAGCTCTGAATTTGCTCAATCTGAAACGCCAATTATGAAACCCCCATCGTTTTTTATGATAGGAAAGATTGCTTCTCGCATTGCCATCTGTTGCTTGGTGACGCGGCGTGTCCTCTCCAGGTTTTGTCTCTAGTGAAGTCACCTGAGAATTATAAAGGACCTGCCCACTTTTTTCCCTTTCAGATACACTCTGGGTGATCAACAAACCTACAGTAGGCGTCAGTCGACCGCACACTCGACTCACAGCCTGGTTAAAGCCTATGTACTATATGTATGGATGGTGTTTTTTGAACTTTGCTTGAAAGGCAGTACAAAATCCGCGTCTCTTATGCACTTTTAAGACTGACTTAGTTTTTGTTATCTTTTTGTTTTAGTTTTAATTAAAAGTCATGAGTCGATTGGATGGATGGGGAGTGAAGTCACACGCGTTAGAACCGGAGGAAGAGTTTTATTCTTTCGATTTTGACTCGGAAGATCTGTCCGGCTGTCAGGACCCCAGCGAACTTTTGGTGACTCTGAAACAAAAGGAAGAGGATTTGATTCTGGCTGCCGAGCTGGGGAATGCGCTTCTTCGGGAAAACGGCGAACTCAAAGAACAGAACGAAAAACTTCATGAGAAGTACGCGGACAGATTAGAGGTAAGGTCATGAACACAACGCAGTCTGGTGTATGGAACCGTCTGTGGTTATCCTGTCACCCCGCTTTGCCTGCACACACGCTGTGAATATACCGTTACTGTGTGTGCCGTCTGGTTTTCCACTAGCCTCAGTTAAAATAACAAAGAAACAAAACCCCCACTAAACTAATTTTAGTGTTAAGAAACAGTGAGTCACGTTTATGTACAAAGCATTTTAGATTTACACATTCCAGAACCAGCATGGTGCGGTACGGGTTTTTAATTAGTTTTTTTTTTTACAATTATTTGTTGGCATTTTGTGTTTGCCATTTTAAGTGCTTTAAGCTGACCAATTATTACATTCTTTAACCTCAGAGCTGATACTCCTATGTTGCATTATCCGATATTAAATACATGTCAATTACTGTGACAATATACCTATGTCCAACATCGGGTTGAATGCATATAATAAACCCCCTTCTTTTTTTAATAATGAGGGGTCCTTCGCTTCTTCAACTTTTCTGGAACGGGAATAAAAACATAGTTTTTGACAGGTGTTTACAGTTTGGATTTTGTCTAATATTTTCTATATAAAACAAGTCCACACGAAAATGGTAACGGTGCTAAAATAATGTTCTTTTCGATGGCAATGGATTAGGCATCATGTTTTAATGCTCGTACCTGGTGCGTCAGAGCGATGGGTGATGGAAAAGTTAGGCTAGTGCTTGGATTGTTTCATCTGCAGATGAATCACGCTTCCGCTATCCCGCAGATAAAAGAAGGGACATTAAATAACTTGTTGATAGTGACCCTTCTCTGTGATCTTGGGAGCATGCCATCTCTGGGTGAATTGCCTAGAAACCAGAGTGCAGAAAACCGCATCGCTGGGAACTCAAAGTATAGAGACGTTCCCTGTTCTTCGTGGAACAACCAAAAGCCGTAAGTTATAGAGGCACTTGTTCACCGTAAATACCTGTGGTACTTAAACGAGTTTTCTGGAGATTTCGGTGCAGCCAGGGGAGTGAAATACAGCTTAACAAGGGCATAAATATACCACCCCGAGAGAGGCAATTCAAATACATTCTTCATTTTATGAATCCTTGTAGTTGGGACTTTGCACGATAAGCAGCAATGAACGTCACGATCAGACAGAAAAGCCTTTGTATTTCTCACTCTTATTGAGCTATTGTACATAGTTGTTTTTGTATTGTTTCTGGTGAAGTTAATCTATGAGGGAAAAAACTGTTTTTTTACCGTTATGTACAGTATTTAGGTCGCGCCGCTGACCAAGCGCACCTACATTCGTTATGTGCCAATTTATATTTTTTTGTGACATGGTCTTATTGAACGTCTCAGGAGGAAATTGCTGAGAGTGGTGAGCACTTCGCCTGAGAGACGTGTCTAGTCTAGTGTCTAGGTGAAAAGTAATCTTTCTTTGATAAATGACATTATCTTCTTATTCCCTGATGCTGCTCACAAAACAGGGCATAACAGGAATAATGATCAAATAGTGTTAAGTGTTGTTGTAGAACCTTCTTAGGTCTTAATGTAAAAAAACGGACTGTTTTATTCAGTAGTAAAGTGCAAAAATCAGATATCTAAGTCTAACAACAGATCTTAAAATGAATATTGAATTTGAGCCAAATCTCTATGTTTTACAAAGTGTTTGAAGAAAGCTGCTCATTCCAAACTGTGAAAATGTCTTTGCAGTTTGAGCTCTCCCTTTAAATACTTTT